AATTGGGGGATGTGGGAATTGGGGGACGTGGGAATTTGGGAATGTGGAAATTGGGGGATGTGGGAATTTGGGCATGTGGGAATTGGGGGATGTGGGAATTGGGGGATATAGGAATTTGGATGCGTAGAAATTTGGAAATGTGGAAATTGGGGGATGTGGGAATTGGGGGACGTGGGAATTTGGGAATGTGGGAATTGGGGGATGTGGGAATTGGGGGACATAGGAATTTGGATGCGTAGAAATTTGGAAATGTGGAAATTAGGGGATGTAGGAATTGGGGGACGTGGGAATTTGGGAATGTGGGAATTGGGGGATGTCGGAATTTGGGAATATGGGAATTGGGGGATGTGGGAATTGGGGGACGTGGGAATTGGGAGATATAGGAATTTGGATGCGTAGAAATTTGGAAATGTGGAAATTGGGGGATGTGGGAATTGGGGGACGTGGGAATTAGGGGATATAGGAACTTGAATGCGTAGAAATTTGGAAATGTGGGAATTTGGGAATGTGGGAATTGGGGGATGTGGAAGTTTGGGGATGTGGGAATTTGAGTGCGTAAAAATTTGGAAATGTAGGAATTGGGGGATGTGGGAATTTGGGAATGTTGCACTAAAAATTACGAAGATCCCACTTAGAGTCCCAAAAAATAATAACTTTGCTCAAATACATTAGACTATTTCATGCACCTAAACTGCAATAAGAGCTGAATTGATAGTAACAATTAAAGAAAGATGAATCAGAAACTCCGAAGAAGCTTTTGAGTTATTAGTTCTCTAATGTGATCTAATCTCGCTCTAGCCTGAATTCGCTCGAACAGCTTGAATCCACTTCGATCTGCGTGGATCAGCGTAGGATGGCTTTCCGAGGAAGCAGGAGGGTTAGAATAGATCCAGCAGGATCGAGCGAGTCTCCAAGTCGAAATGGCTCGGAGCGCATGAAAGCCATCCATTAAACGGTAATCGATGTTGTTTTAACTCAGAGATCGACGAATTTTATAGGTAAACATTCGTGACACAGTTGTAACTCGGGAAACTTTGATTTTAGACCGGCGTTGATTATTCATTCGCGTTCCAAGCTAATCTGGGATTAAATAGATTAACGTGTGATCGTTATATTCTGCCTTTGCAAAATGTCGAATTCTGAAAGGGTCATGTATGGATATAGTCAGTATAAATAGGGATTATAGTCATTTGAAAATTTGAATATTGTTGTTTGACGATAGTCGTTTGATTCTGGTCATTTAATCTAAGATTATAGATGACTGTAGTTTGACCACTGCTATGGCTGGAATGTATACAGTCACTCTAGAAGGTGCTTATAGTCACGCTAAGATTCTAATGTAGTTGTTTGATCATAGTTGTTTGACTGCGATCATTTACTCTTATATTATGAATGACTATAGTGTGCTCACTGAGGATGTAGAATGACTATTATTATTTATATTGATGCACGTGCTACAAGCAGATATAGTTGCTTCTTAAGTTATTAATAATAATAATAATCGTTCGTTGAGAAGTTTGGAAACATTGTAGTCGTTTGATTTGAAACGATAAGTAACTGTAGTTGTTCATTTTTATGGCAAGAGTGATTATAGTCACTCACTTTGATGTCAAGTACATCAGGAACAACAAGTATGTAAGTAATTGTAATTTACTTTAATACTAGAGGTGACCATAAACTATTTCCTTGAATCTAAAGTCGAATACAATCGTTTGCTATAAATATAAGAACAAGTTATACTGCCAAGGGTGATTATAGTCACTTGTTATTACACCAAGAGTGATTATAGTCACTGCTATGATACGAATAGCTATTATAGTCATCTGTTTTGAGATCAGAAAGGACAGTAGTCACTTATTATTATACTGAGAGTAGCTATAGTCACTTTCTATGAAACTTCCAAAGTTTATAGTCACCGGTTATGATACTGGGACTGACAATATTACCTCTCTATGATACTAAATGCAAGTATAGTTACTTGCTATGACACCAATCGCAATAATAGTCATTTCCTAAGACGTTAAATACGAATATAGTCGTCCCTCTTTAAACTAAAAATGATTGTAGTCATCTTCTCAAAGCCTGAAATCAATTATAGTCACTTCGAACACCAATAAGAATGACACAGCTCAGTGAATCCAACCCCGTTGATGATTAAAATAATTACATTTCCCCGAAAAATGTCGAGGAAAAGAACCGATCGATTCATTTGATCCAGTGGTAATTAACTCTGGAATATCTTGATATTCAATTAAACTATCCAAGTCGCCGATAGACTTCGAACGTCGGGTGTTAAATAGCGGAGGTAGTTAGCAGCAGCAACGTTAATTAGCGACTTACCATCAGCATGGATTCCCAGGCCATCCAACGAATTGGCAGCGGAGGTCGACCCTCGACCCGGAAATAGTCAGCCGCGTAGGCGTTTCTTCCGGAGCCCAGATCCGACACTTTCACCGTATAACCACGGCTCACCAAGCAGTTTCTGCAACCAGACCATAAACTCTCTTTTTTTTTCTTCTCCCTCTATCCCTTTTCTCGTTTTATTACAACAGCTGCCGCAGCAGCATCGCGGGTATTTTTCAACCGCGTCGTGCTGACATTTTTCAGCTGACCCACATTAGCCAACTTTTTTCAATATTCGCAACGTCGAAGTTGCGCAAATAAAACAAAACTGTATCATTTCATTTCTGCGATAGCACGTTTTGTTGTTCCTCTTTTTTTCGTTGCCTCGACAAACCCTATGGGGACCGAGCCACTGATCCTCCCTTCTTCTACTCGCGACGGAACTTTTATACTACGAGAAAACATGATAGACTTTGCGAGATAATCCGTCTTCGAGAGGATTATTCCCGATCTCTCCCCTATTCTGCCACTCGAACACGTAGACAAATGTATCGCTACGAACGGTACTCAAAGGACTGTTCACGATCTTCTGAGGGGATCAGAACCGATTTGAAGGATATATTTTTCTGACAAATTGTACGAGTATGGAGTGTGTCCCTGTTTTGTCAAGGTATTATCGTTCGTACACCAACTTTGTCCAAGGAAAATATCAAAAGGAAGATAATGCATTATTCACCCTGGATTCTCTAACATTCACTACTATTTTTCAAGCATTTACGATAATCTGCCAAACGTGGTTCTTGACAAAAGTCAGCTTTAGATACACATTTTTATATCAGAACTTTCTTAAATAAAGTATCAAGGCTATGACTTCTTTAAATGGTACTATGTGTTCTGGTTTTTAACATTTTTGTTAATGCAACATAACCTCAACATCTACAACATAACCTACTATAACATAACCTCAACATAATGTATGTCTAGTCAACATAACCAAAGTCAAATTACATGTTAAAAATGACACTAAGTCTGTCAAATTAATAGGCTTATTTAACAAATATTATTTAACAGAAGTATTAAGTATAAAATTTTAACGTAGTCTGTATAAATTTTTTTCATGAAGCTCTCTGATCATCTAACTGATTATCTGATTCATCATCTACTTGATTATATAATTGATCATCTGATTGATCATCTAATTGATTATGTAATTGATCATCTGATCGCTCATCTACTTGATCATCTGATTGATTATATAATTGATCATCTGGTTGATCATCTGATTGATTATATAATTGATTATTTATTTGATCATCTAATTGATTACATAATTGATCATCTGATTGATTATCTAATTGATTATCTACTTGATCATCTAATTGATTATATAATTGATCACCTACTTGAATATCTAATTGATTATACAATTGATCATCTGATTGAACATCTAATTAACTATCTATATTGATTTATCTTCAAAGATAAATCATCTGACTGTTCATCTAGCCAAACAAAATACTGTAACAAAGACAACCAAAAAAGTAATAAAGAACACAGATAAAAATGTAGCTATCAACTTCAGATTTATCACCGGTCAAACGCGAGATAACCAGAGCTTCGGATTACTCGTTTTTCTTCCGCGATTTAAAGCTGCTTTAGTCGAAGGCAATTCTTTGTCCCCGACTCGGTTTGTCGCGTTTCTACGTATTTTATAGCCTCATTTGACGACGATGCACTCTTTAGAACCGTTTCGAGTGTAAGTCGCTTTTAAGCAGCCCCAGGAAGAAAGCTTTTTCAACGAATGTTGCGGAAGCTCCGAGCTTTGCACTGATTTGCACGTAGAACCGACTGTTTATTGGGCGCGAAAAGCTTTAAGCGCCGGACACCTATTCTTTTATCTTGAAAGCATTTCTCGCTGCTCTGTTTATGCTTTAGGTGTGATTTACCCGGGGAAATATCGAACTTGGATTAATACAAGAATCAGTTGTTCATAAAATTTTATTGCATTTGCAATTTGTAGTTGGAAGTTTGTGTGAGGTTATTTGGGAATGATGGGGGAATATTTATGAGTTAGGTTAGGTTAGAACAAATTTTATTGGATAATTGTTAGGTTATATAAATTTGAGTAGAAGTGATTTTAATTAGATAATTATTGATGTATGTCAATTTTAGAATAATTCATTTTAGACAAAAAATTCTTAGTCTTTCAATCATTAAACCAGAACATATTGCAGAGACAAGTCTATAATATTCATAAATTCATTGTACTCATGATATATGTTTATCTATACATTTATATCGTCCCAGACGTATAAACGATATAAATTATAATATCAAAATTATCGTAATAACAATTGTCCATAAATTTCATCCAACAACGATAAACACAAAATGATTTAAAAATCTCCAACCTTAAATTTGACAAATATCAACTTTTAAATCTGCAATAATTCTCTTAAATCGGTCGCGTTTTGTAGAAATAAGTGAAAAGGTGAAAGTCAAAAGGACAGCAAAAGCGCGAGGCTTTTATTTGCCGAGCACAGCGTTCAAAACTCGTTTCTATAAATCAACGGGCAATTAATTTCAGCCGCGTGCGACCGTTCCGCGTTTATGCGACACCGACGCCTGTGCCTCGGCCCATTGTAATTAAAGTTTATGATTAGAGTTAATAATTCGAACACGTGACCCAGCCATCCCGTGTCCCCACTTGTTAGCTTTTAATGGCTCCGCTACGCCGAGCGTTTTCGTCGAGTTCCCTGCTATCCGACAGTTTCAGATTCAAAAAGCGTTACTATTCGAACACGGTTTCACCCTCCGGAACTTTGTCAGGAAAAGATATTTAATAAGTTAACTAATAGCGACGAAATATGCGACACGGGCGTCCATTATTCTAAACGATCAATCAAAATGGCTGCAACAGCTGCAAGAATGCACAGAAAAATTTGAGTCTTCGAATGTTTCAATTCGAGAGAGCGGACAGATTTATTCTTATCGAATTTGGTATTCTGAGCAGCTGTCGGGCAACTGCTTCGGGAAAGTTGCTCGAGTTTATTTTTCGAATCGGGACAAACTACGACAAAATTGCTGTGTTTGCCATTTTGAAATTATTTGAACTAATAATTTTTTTTGAATGTTATTTTGCAAGAGGATGTTAATTACTTTGATTGTCAAAATGAAATGCAACGAAATACAAATATATTTATTTTTTTCTTCTCACTGCTGGTAGTTCTACCATTAAATTTATAACAAGACAGTTCATAACGTTGAAGATAAATTTTTTCAAAGAAGCTATTCAATTTCAGATATTTTACAATTTTGATAAATTTCAAAACTTTCAATGCATATAATTTAAACTGACCATTTATTTTAAAATTAAAATACCATTTAATAAGAAAAAATATTTGTCCAAAACTAACCTAAAAATGAACAAACGCGAAAGATTGAGGAAAATGAAATAAATGGGGTTTATGGGAAATACAAGGAATCAGAGTGGAAGGATATTAAGGAACGAAGCAATTGAAGCGTTGGAAACTATAGAGTAACGATTTCGTTTCCAAACTGTTTCATTACTCCGTGTCGATCGTTATCGTAAGAGGAAAGTGTGCGACATAACTGAACGCGATAGTTTTGCTTGGAGCACTCGAAGTCGTAGCGGTAACCATAGCTATCGACCGGCTGCACAAACAAAAGTACCAGCAGCTTCCGTGGAACTAACTGTAACACGTCGAAGAGGAAACGCGTTTGTGCAGGGCAAAGAGAGCAACGTCGTCGTCGAACGAGTGACTGATCGGCGAAGTTTCCCTCAAAGTAATCTACGAGGAGCTGTCTGTCGTTACCTTGTGGCGAGATCCCGATGCACGAAGTCCATTTCCTCGAGGTGTTTCATGCCGGATGCTATTTGCGTGGCCATGTAAACCAACGTGCCGAAACTGCAACAGGAAGAACCACACGGTTCCGTTCAGAAACTTTCCACTCACCAAACTACGTGTAGCTTTCATAAAAATTCATTTCCCCTCGCAAAATTTTACTGAAATTTTATGAAAGTTTTAAATTAAATGGGTTTATGATTATTCAGTTTGAAAATATTAATTAATTACTATACTATGTATACATGAAATGGAATTAAAATTGATTAGGGTAAAAGTGGTGCTTTATGTAGTGATGTATATAAGTCTGCAAAGTACTGTGCAAGTTTGAAGTAGAACAAAATGAACAAGATTAAAATTCATTTTAAAAATTTCTATTAATTAACCACTTTAAAAATAAAATCAAATTAAAATAAATTATTGTAAAGACAATATTTTATGTAGTGATGTATATAAGCCTGCAAAGTGCTGCATAAGTTTGAAATTGAACAAAATGAACAAGATTAAAATTCACTAAAAAAATTTTTATTAATAAACTGTTTTTAAAATACTATTAATTAACCACTTTAAAAGTAAAATCAAATTAAAATCGATTATTGCAAGAATAATATTTAATACAGTACTATGTACAATTTTATAAAGTGATGTAAAAATTTAAAATAAAATTGAAAAAGACTAAAATTGACAACTGTGTAAATGCTGCTAATTAACAACTGTAAAAATAGAACCACATTAATTATTGTAAAAATAAAAATTGATATAATACTGTAAACAAAACTATAAAGTGCAGTACAAATTAGAACCAAACAAAAATTAACAAAATTAAAATTGTCTACTATAAAAATAAAACAAAATTAAAATTCACAACTATCCAACTAAAATTCTATTCAGTAAAAATGATAAATAAACCAAAATGAACAAAATAAAAATGATCTACCCTAAAAATGAAATAAAATAAAAAAACCTAACTACTCACCATTCCACAAAGTAATAAAATTTCGTAAAGTACAGTAAAGCACAAGAAGAAAGGAAAATCGAAAGTATCCCATAAGCAACCGTAGTTTACGAATAGCACAGACAAATATACGGAGATATTAGCTCGCAATACCTCAAATGACGACGCTTTAAAGCGAAGAGGAAAACTCGCGGACCATTTGCATCGGTAACAAAAGCTCGACAGATCGAGCGTTTTTGCTCGCGTTCGTTCTGTTCGTGGATTACAAACTTCACGGTTTTTCCTCATTCTCCTTTTTTCTTCCCAACGTTTCTTGTTTGAGACGCGTACGAGAGGAACGTTTTGAGCGGTTCTTTCTTTTTTTTTTTCGAGCTGCACCGACCACTTCTATCGTCGTCATTCTCGGTTATCGTACTGATGAGCTTCTAACCGGGATAATGCACGACCGTCGGCGATTCGTTTAAATAACGCGCGCAAATCTTTTCCTGCTCGCTTTACCGCCAGCGGATTTATCCGTGGAGAGGATTTATTTTCGCGGTCGTATCGGGAGAGGAATCGCTCCAATTTTCGTTCATGATCTTCCACAGATTTTTTTAGGTGATTAAGATAAATGCGACTTTTAAAGAGTTAATATTAGAACTAAGTTGTTCGAAGTATATTCCCAATCCGAAGTGATCGAACATCAAGTTTCATCGAAATTGTTATGCTTTGTTCCCTTGTTAATACAACAAGAAAGTTGGCCAACTTCCCTAACGTGTATTCTCAAGGTACGTAACCCAGAAACCCTTGGTTCTAACTGGAATTTCATTGCTCGATTTTCCGTGTATTATTTCTGAAAGCGGAAAAAAACTCGCGTACAAAGTGTACTCGAATCAGTTTATAAGCCCTCGGAAGAAAAAAGGAAGGGAAAAATATGGACGAAAGCACTAACAGGAAAGAATGTACGCGATGAAGTAGGTCGTCATTTGGGATGCAAATTTCGTGCAGGCTGTGTAGATCGATATGCTCGGTCGTTTTGCCAACAAAGACAAAGAGCGGACGGTTTCTATATCGGTCGTTTCCGTTGCAAACGGGGTTGATCGTTGTGCGAACGCACAGGAAAAACATGGTACGTCGACAGCTGTCACCAGCACCGATCATCTTCTCTGTCGTTCCACCTCTCATTTTCGCTCGATTTCTCCTGTTTCGAGCACTTTCCACGCGTGACCCGAACGTGATTGGAATTGACGTTTCCACGACGATCAAACCCGAAAAATTGGGTTCATCGCGATCCCGGACGACATCGTTAATCGAAATATCATTTGTCGCGAGTTCGACATCGACAGAAAGAATAATCGTTGTTTCGTTCACGATTGGACCGGTTACAATGCTGACAAAGTATAAAGGCTCGGAAGTCTGCTGACAAATATTAGCTGACGACGCAGTTCGAAGACGCTGATTACGGGTCATAGAGATATATTTGGGAAATTTGGGGAAATTGAGAAAATTTGGGAAAGTTGTGAAATTTAAGTAATTTGGGAAGTTGAAGAAGTTTGGGAGATAGAAGAAATTTAGGAAATTTAGGAAACTTAGGAAATTTGGGAAATTTAGAATATATAGAAAATTTGGGAAATTTAGGTGAACTGGAAAATTTAGAAAAATTAAGAAATTTGGGGAATTTAAGAAATATAGGAATTCTAGGAAATTCAGCAAATTTAGGAGATATAGGAAAATTGGGAAATTTAGGAAATTTGGGAAATTTGAGAAATTTGAGAAACTTGGGAAATTTGGGAAACTTGGGAAACTTGGGAAATGTGGGAAACTTGAGAAATTTGAGAAATTTGAGAAATTTGGGAAACTTGGGAAATGTGGGAAACTTGAGAAATTTGAGAAATTTGGGAAACTTGGAAAATTTGAGAAATTTGAGAAATTTGGGAAACTTGGGAAACCTGCGAAATTTCAGAAATTTGAGAATTTGAACTTTTATAAAAATGGAAATTTGTTATCACGAAAGATAGGAAATTTAAAATTTGAGAAATTGTGGATTTGAGAATTTGCAGATCTGAAGAATTTGTATCTAGATCCCCAGATTCTTCTCTCCCCAATACTTAATAAAATAAAAGATTCTTCAAACTTACCACAATCTCATCCCACCATATATCAACCTAAACCTAAAAATACCTTCACCAGCCCTAATTACTACGATCACCTCGATATAATTTTCCTCCTAACAACCAATACGTTAAATCAACAAAAAGTTTTCGAATACACAGAAAAAGAATAAAGAAAAGACACGAAAGAGTATTTTCACGATTCCGCGAGCGGACCATCATTTCCCATTGTGTCCGATGGCCGGATAAAATGGTTTCCTCTCCGAAACAACTTAAATTACTCGTACCTGAGGGTCTTAGCTGTGTGTACAGTGGATGTTTCCGCGATGTGACTCTGCAGGTATTGATTCAAATCCCCGTACTCGCCGTTTTCCAATACGATGCACATGGGGTCGTCTTCGAGGCTCGCGCCCAGTAGCCGCGCAACATTCCGATCGGCCAGACGTGCTACTCGTTTTGCTTCCTGTTGAAACTCTATCCTGAAAAATACACGCCAGACACTCGGAAGTAATATCTTTATAGTCGACTGACCCACCTATCGGCCGGCTATTCAATACGGACACACGAATATACTGGAAATAATGCGACTCTGTCCGGGAAACGGTTCTGTATCGTACTCTTCGAGTTTCAAGAGGGAACGAAAATAATGGAACGCTCGAAGAGAGATTCGAACTAATGTTACGTGGACTTGGGATGATAAGTGCTATCAGATTATCGTTTTCGGATGTTTAGATTTTTTTGGGGATGTTGGATTTTTTAGGGGATGTTTGGGGGAATTTTTTGGGGATGTGATATTTTTGGATGGAGGTACTTGTCAGTTTGTGGAGATGGGGGATTTAGGTTCATGAGTTTACTCAATTTTAAGTTGATAAATTTTTTAATCTTTAAATTTTCACGTTTTCAGGTTTTCAAGTTTTCAAGTTTTCAAGTTTTCAAGCTTTCAAGTTTTCAATCTTTCAACTTTTCAATCTTTCAACTTTTCAATCTTTCAATTTTTCAATCTTTCAATTTTTCAATCTTTCAACTTTTCAATCTTTCAATTTTTCAATTTTTCAATTTTTCAATTTTTCAATTTTTCAATTTTTCAATTTTTTAAATTTTTAGTTTTTTAATTTTCCAACTTTCCAACTTTTCAATTTTCAAGTTCTCAAGTTCTAAATTTTTAAATTTTTAATATCCCAAGCAATATAATAATACTCCAGTATCTGACCTACCCCGAAAAATACCATAACCAACTACCCTAAGAAAGTTTTTCCATCTCGAAGTACACACCCCCTAAAAAAGATAACCCTCCATACGTGTTATTCGAAATGGAAATTTGTGTGCTACCAAACACGGTAAATTATGATACGACGTGACGTAAACTTGTTCCCGGATTTTCGTTAATAAATTTCCTTGTTTTGAGAAACTTCGAGGTACAAAGGGTCAGAACGTAAACCGGAAAATGCGTCTCTCCGGGGGACAACACCGAGGAACTTTCGAGAGTGGCTACCAGAGGCAAAGCGAAACTTTCTGACCGGTACCGAGTAAATTATAATTTTGTAAACTTGTAACGGATGCGATTGATTAAAGCTCCGGCGGAATTGGACATCAAAGAAGCTTCGACGCGAAATTTTAATCCGACAAAAACCTGATGCACCAGTTTCACGGTATTATGCTGGATCGTTTGAAAGGTTCGTTCCGTTTGTAATATTCGATCATACGCGTTAATGTCTTCATACATTTCAAATTAACAGATTCATATTGCGCAAGATGAAATTTGAATATTTGCAAAGTTTTGTCAATATAAATATACGAAATGACAAATTTACGGATGCAAATGTATTTTCGAACAAACAATTTCAGGAGGAAATTGTTAAAAATAACGCGTTTTTCGTCATTTCGGTGAAATGAGTTTGCGACTGAAGATTTCAATTTATTTGGAGTTTTTGTGGATTCAGATTTTTATGACAGTTTGACCTCTCATTGGAAAAATGGAGAAATATTTTTTTAATAAGGAACTGTTTCGTATTGCACATTTATATTTTCTGTTTTGGCAAATAATTTTTAAGATGACGAGGGGGTTGCAACTGTCAGAGGTGGTTTTTATACTTTCAATAATAATATGTTTCAGAAAATGTGTATTTGTTGAAGTTTGATTAATGGAGTGAAGAATTAGCTTGTCATACTTGGTTCAAAATGTATATATAAATGCACAACACATATGTATTGAAATGAATATGTGTAGTAATCTATTCATGACGAACAAGTTATACAATGAGAGAAGTATTTAAAGTTGTTCAAAAATTCTACAGAATCAAATGAAGTGTAAAATTGTGAAGTAAAATAAAGGAATAGAAATAAAGGAGAAACAAGAGGGTGATAATAAGTGATTTAGATAAAATGTCGATCATGTATAGTTTAAACACTTTCTCTGCATTATAGCGTCGCGGCTACTTAATACACGAAGCGTGTCATTATATTCGAAATCACTTTGTGCCGCGTGTTATCGAATTATCGGGTGAACACGCCGCTCTAAATATAATCGATCGAGATAATTTTCTATCGATGCCCTATACTTCCATTATCCCTTCCACTTGGCGAACCCCTTCTCTCCCACGCCCGTTCCATTAACCGGATGGATAATAAATGAATCAGAGTAGCACTCTATAATCGGCTAGGATAATTTTCCACCAGTTATCCTATATTTCCCGTATTTTCACTCACCGTGAAATATCGAACGCTTAATAGTTTCGGCCACTGAATTCACCGACTTAAACGAGTCGCCCAATAACCGTGTTGCTCGATTCATTTTCCATTTGGCAAATTTAATTACCGTCCAACGTTTTATCGGTTCCCGATTTCACGCCACGTTGCTGTGTTGTTTCGCGAACGCAGGACATTCGAAGGAATTAGCACGATACGTTGCGTTTGGAATTAAAAATCTTTATTGTTCGTCCTTCAATTGTGAACGGATCGTTTCTGTTTATTTCTGCTGATTTTCACGATTGCGAAGGTATCGATTGAAAGCTCGAATGTTTGAATCGTTGAAGTTTTTATGACTTTTGTTTTGTGAAGGGAGAAGTTAAAATAGGTATTCATTTTCAGCGTTATTGATTATTTTATTTTAATCGGTTGTTTTATTGACTTGGCTCACAGTTTGGGGTCTTGGAAGTTGTATATTTCTACATTGGGAAGTTTAGGTACTAAATTGTGTGAATTCACGCTGACGCACACTAACGCACACTAACACACGCTAACGCACACTAACGCACACTAACTCACGCTAAAACGTACGAAATCACCCGAAGTTTGCAATTTCCCAAATCTCTAAATTAAATCCCCAAGCTTCTACATCTCTAAAGTATAAACTACCTAACATTTTAACATTAAATTTCATTAAAAGACCGTCAACTTCCGTCTACTCAAACCTGAATAAATTTCCAAGTACGAAAACTTGAAATTCTGAAAGTTCTACACCTCCTAACCGACTTCATCACGAACCCAATTAATCATGTAGCCAATGTAACCTCCATGTAACCAATAATAATCTAGACGATGTCTCATTACCTTCACATACAACAATGGTTTTAAATATCCATTAAAGAGAAAAAGAAGATGATATCCTTACCTAAGCGCATCGGAGGATCCAGGTCTCAAGGATTTAACGATCACGAGGTCGCTGGTGGTGTTCCGGAAAACTTCGTCGTAACCTGGAAACCTGTCGATCTCACAAATGTGAACGTCACCGAAGTATCCGCAACCGAGGTTTTCAACGATGTTCAGTTTCTCCCTGGGGAAGTCTAAGATGCACTCGGGCACCTCGTCCTCCTCCTCCGTGAGCATATCCTCCGGACTGTAGCTTGTCATGCTGCTGGAGGCTTTCGCGCTCATTGGCGGTGGCGTGCTCGGCGTAGGGGATGGCGGCAACGGTGGCAAAGAATTCTGTAATAAAAACCGGGACGCTCGAGGAAAAACAGGATGAAGCTGCTTAGCAAGGAATATTCCAGAGAGAATGTCTTGAAATTTTCCTTGTTAGGCATTCTTTCATCTTACATAAAGATTACCCTCTGTTCACCTGCGTTCTTCTCTTTTTATACAACCCACTTTTCCAATTAGCTTTCTTACTCTTAGAGGTCTTATGGAGCATGACGCACTTATGATTTATATTCTGCGTTCATAAATTGTAATTTATAACATTTATGGTTCAACAATGAAATTTTCGAAATGTACACTCAGATATTCAAAATAAAACAGATAAGTATATAAAGAGTAAAACTTGTATATTTATAAATTTTTTACTTTGATCAAAATTAATGTATATTTCAAGAGGAGTACTTTGACAAATATAATTTATTATAAAAATATAAAAATTGATAATTTGATAAGTTTGTCATTTTGCTGTCATAGTTAAAAATAAAATATTCTAGATATAAGATTATTTATATTTTCAGAATACAATATGACATGATAGGGTTTATAATCCTTGATGACGTATACGTCCCTCAAAGTGAAAGGATTAGCAAATTTGCAAGTTTCTTTCATCGAAATTAAGAGCTCCGTACAGAGAACTATTAGCATGATAAAACGCCGCGGAACTTTGAAACGTATCTCACGATACATCCAGCATAATTTATGGAAAATATTCATCAGCAAGGAGTAATCAATAACCACGCCCTTTGTACTATCCTTAATCTGCGTATCCGGGTATAAGACGTTTCCTGGAACGTCTCGCATTAGTCATGATCGATAGTACCTCGTTCCCTTATTTTCCATCCATTAAACCTCATTATTCTCCGTGTTAAGTCTCTTAAAGTAGTCAATTCTGACCAAACACAAATAACTATTTTGTCACATAGAGATTCGTTAGGAAATTTTTTTGTGTGGTGATTTTGAGAATGAGGACAATTTAAATGAGGAAATTTATGAGTTATCTGTCGAATCCCTACGGACCGAATATTCACGCGTCGAATTTCTGCGCATCGAGTATCCACGCGTCGAATAACCACGCACCGAACTTCCACGCGTCGAATACCCACGCGTCGAATTTCTGCGCATCGAGTACCCACGCGCCGAATTTCTGCGCATCGAGTACTCACGCATCGAATATCCACGCGCTCAATTTCTGCGCATCGAGTACCCACGCGTCGAATTTCTACGCGCCGAATTTCTGCGCATGGAGTACTTACGCGTCGAGTACCCACTCGTCGAATTTCTGCGCATCGAGTACCCACGCATCGAATTTCCACGCGTCGAATACCCACGCGCCGAATTTCTGCGCATCGAGTACTCACGCGTCGAATATCCACGCGCCGAAATTCTGCGCATCGAGTACCCATGCGTCGAATTTCTGCGCATTGAGTACCCACGCATCGAATTTCCACGCATTGAATTACTGCGCATCGAGTATCCACGCACCGAATTTCCACGCGTCGAATTTCTATGCATGGAGTACCTACGCGCCGAATTACTGTGCATCGATTATCCACGCGTCGAACACCCACGCGTCAAATTTCTACGCGCCAAGGTCTCACGCGTCGAATACCTATTCCCCGAATTTCTACGCGTCGAGTACCCACGCGTGGATTATCCATGCGTCGCGTAACCACGTGCCATAGTTCCACGCGCCATATATCAACGCGCCGTACCTCCATGCGCCCTATCTCCACGCGCCATATCTCCACACTCCGTACCTCCACTTGTCCTACCTCCACGCGACAAAAATCCTCCTCCTTCCCTACACAACCAATTACAAATACTTTTCCCTCCCCCAAACCCATCGTATCCATTTCACTCTAACAAAACTCCGCCGTGTACCGCAATATCCCATCCCCAGTATACCCAATTACAATAATCGCAAGTTAAAAGCCCCCAAAGTCACGAACCAGCGTTTGACACAGTTTTAAAGTCAAAGTGGTCGGCGTTAACATGTTCCTTCGAAGGACTAATCGTCATGGATCGCATGTCTGGTGTACATTTTTGATACTCACCTTACAGATCTCGGTGCTGGCGTAATACTTTTCCGGCGGTGGCGGTATGGGCGGTGGATTTGATGGATATTCTTGAACCGGTGGAATCGGTCTGGTGAGATTGATCGCTGTGTTCAGCAGCAACGGAATAACCGGCTGCACCTCGGTGATCCCTGCACGTCCGAAAGAAGAGAAAACGAGAATTTTGACGAAGTTAGAAAGACACGATGGCCAGTTCGCACGAGACAAATTATTGGGTGAAGTTACCCTAGGGCGTTGCATGTTCTTTGCAACTTTCGAACGACTGCTTTGTTCCTTTCTGATTTCTATTACTGAAGTAGGTTCTATTAGCGACTCGAGTCGACTTCTGTGCTTTCTTGCCTATTTTCTTGGGTGGAATTTTAGTACTGGGTTTATGTTCCACTTTAAATTCACTTATAGTAATTATTTTAAAATATTAGGCGAAAGCAAAGTATTCGAATGCATTGATACTTTAATGAATTTATTTGTGACTGATTGGTAATTTAGAAACCCTGTCACTTTTAGAATTATGAACCCTATGAAGACAATTATGAACAAATTATGAACACAATTAGTGAATGTCGATCAGTTGATCATGCGATAAGCTGTATAAAAGAGATTTCTGTACGACGAGCATCTACGGTAAAAGAGTAATTTGTAACAGAAGCTAGTCGCGAAATACTTTTGTGCATCGAGGAACGTTTCGTGGCAAATGCGAGGAAACGAAATAACTCGTCAACTATTCGAGCAACGTGGACGAATGGAAGCATGTTTCGTTGGGGAAGTTGTCTGAATTTTTTCGGACTCGCGAACCTTTCTGTCAGAAATAATAGTCACGAAACCGTGGCTGGTCTTTTTCTGTCTTTTCCACGGGAAACACTCGAATACGAAAGCCACGAAATTTTAGATTCAACGAGACAGATTAGAGATATATTGTAGCTCGTCGAGACACGAGAGCGCGATAAATTACGCGATTCTTTATGATTTCCCGGTGTAAGTATCGGCTTGAACTCTATAATAAACCGTCGATGATTAGGCTGTAATTTAATTCGTGGCCTGTATGCTTCGATATCACGGTAGGTGTTGCATTTATCGTCACGATCATTGCTCATAGTCCACCGCGATTTGATGTAATTTTAATTGAACGCTAACTGGATATTACACTCGCAACGTGAAACTGCTCATTTCGAATTATCGCGCCGTTTAATTACGCTAATGTGTACCGGGAAAAATCTGATACCTGCTGATATAAAAATATGGTAGCATTATCGGAATAAAAATTTGTACATAATAAAGATTTAATCGGGGTACAATAAAAATTACCACCTGGTTTTAATGTAATTTCAGTGATTCTAGATTAAAATAAATTATAGTTTGCGTTATTGTTCAAAGCATAATTTGTAAAAGAATGTCATGTACCTAACCTAAAAATTATCAAAAATTATTTTCATGTAACTAATCGAACAGTCTTAATATTTAATTGAATTGTCTTAATTTTTTGAAACGTAAACGATAAAAAATTGCATATTCATTAATGAATACACTGATCAGTCAACTGATACTTGTTTCGTTTTGATGAGGAAGCAGCCATTTTGTGTTGAGAATATCGACTCAGCCATAGTGCAGGCATTTTATTTAAACTTCAAGCTTTAAGTTAATATATTATAAGTGCTATGTTCTGATTCATATCTTTGTTAAAAAAAAAGAAACTAAGATTTCACCCAACTTTCTAAAATTCACCCCTTGACTTCTAAAACTCATTAAAATTTAACTTCCTTAAATCTAAATCTAAAATGTATCCCATTAACAATTTACAATTCACAAACGAATTGCAGTTCTATTAAACAATGCACAGGAAAATGAAACCATCATCCCCTAAACATAAACGAAATAGTTGGAGCGTTAAGGAAGTCCTCGATTGCACCGAAAATTTCGAATTCAAAGCGTGAAATCTTGCGAAACTAATTGATAATTCCAGAAAGTCCCGAGGGATTAATTATTTAAAGTAACGTTACGTCTTATTGAATTTAATTCGAGGTAAACGGCGCATGCACATGCGAAGTTCGAAGGGCTTAAGCGTTTACACTTAATGTCGCTACCAACCACTGTAATCCGTGATAGTTTTGTGTAGTTGCGGTGTCGTCGTGGCGTAGGTGGCGGGGTGGTACTGCGCCGGAAGTGGAGGGCAAATTGGTCCCTTGTCCTCGCCCTCCTCTTGCACGGAGACCTGCGGCCGAATATTGAACGTTCTCGTTAATGAGGCTGACATTTATGCATACACCGGGCTTGTGTATCGAACGGCAAAAGCGATACGCCACCCCCACCCCACGAAACTTTCTGTCACTTCCGTGCACAAACATTTCTGTCCCAATTCGCGGATAACCTTCCGAACGTTTGTAATGTTTTAAGTCACGTTTGTATCTGCTGTGTGGAGATGTTAATAGGAGTAGCTTATAGGAATGGAAAGTTAGGTTATAGTTAACTTACAGTAGTTTGTGAGTTTGTAAACTCCTTAGATTTGCAGAATAATAATTTTCTAATTTTCTAATTTTCTAATTTTCTAATTTTCTAATTTTCTAATTTTCTAATTTTCTAATTTTCTAATTTTCTAATTTTCTAATTTTCTAATTTTCTAATTTTCTAATTTTCTAATTTTCTAATTTTCTAATTTTCTAATTTTCTAATTTTCTAATTTTCTAATTTTCTAATTTTCTAATTTTCTAATTTTCTAATTTTCTAATTTTCTAATTTTCTAATTTTCTAATTTTCTAATTTTCTAATTTTCTAATTTTCTAATTTTCTAATTTTCTAATTTTCTAATTTTCTAATTTTCTAATTTTCTAATTTTCTAATTTTCTAATTTTCTAATTTTCTAATTTTCTAATTTTCTAATTTTCTAATTTTCTAATTTTCTAATTTTCTAATTTTCTAATTTTCTAATTTTCTAATTTTCTAATTTCCCAATTTCCCAATTTCCCAATTTCCCAATTTTCCAAGTTTTCCACATTTTTCAAATTTCCCAAGTTTTCCAAATTTATCAAATTTCCCAAGTTTCTTAAATTTCCCAAATTTCACACGTTTCTTACGTTTCCTAAATTTTCCAGATTTCGTAAGCTTCCTAAATTTCCTAAGTGTTCCAAATTCCTCAAGTTTCCTACGTTTCCCAAATTTTCCAGCTTTCCCAAACCCAAATTTTCCAAGATTCCCATGTTTCGAGTTGTCAAATCCCAAATTTTCCAAAGTTTCAAATCCCCAAACTTCAACCAAGCTTCTAAATTCCCAGATTCAAAAATATCTACATCTTGAAATTTGCAAATATTTAAACACCCAAAATTCCCACCCTGAACTACTTCAAAAAATAGCCCTACTGAGTTACAGTGTTCAAGCGCTATCCATCATGAACACCCGGTCAAAATTAACCGCACACCCATAGTAACTGCTCCTTTCTGACACGATAAAGGATCGAAACGCGTGTCCCGTCGACGAGATTCATCCTGTAATCCACGAAGAACAGCCCCGACACAGCGGGAGCCCGATCGAGTCATAAACGCGAAAGAGGCAACGATGTCGCTTTGAATGCCCTGCCATAAGGGCGGGCAGGAGACGCGACAGGACTATAGATACAGGCCCTAATGGTGAGAGGAGAAGCGTTAGATGGGATGCTTAGATGACAGGAAGACGAGCAACGGTACCAGAAACGACGCCGATCAAAGAAAGCGAGAAGAGCTTCGGCGAAAAAGACGGTGGCGAAAAAGGCAGAAAAGAGGACGAAAGAACGAGCTGGGAAAAGAGATTCGTGCAAAGAGATTTCAGCTGAATCCCGATGGCTAAGTGGTTATCTTATCTTAACGGTGCCACCGTCTCGCCAGCTCTGCCACCCTAACGCTTCCTAAACGGAAATTAACACCCCCTACCCCTTATGGTAGCCCACCTTCAACGGGAGACCGTCTGTGACATTCGCGCCGAGGGCAACGCAAAAATCAATGGATATTATTATATCGCGAGGTACAGCCTCCGTTAGAGCCCTCGACATGATCCCTCTTATCGAAAGGGTGAAATGCTTGTGACGAAAGGTTGTTTGTTAACAGATGGAAACGTTCATTTCCGGAGCTGTAGATCTGGTGGTGGACGCATTTGGAGATTGTAAGGGTATGTTAGAGGGGTAGTTATTGTGTAAGTATATTTTTATTATAGGACCGGAATATTTGGATGTTGGTATGTGGATATTGGTAGTTTGGGGTTTTTTTTATTTGGCGGATATTTTAGTGCAGGTGTGTGATTGTTATCAAGATTCAAATTATTGCAACTTTAAATTTTCAAGTTTTACGTTTGTTGAATCTCGAGATTTTTGTAATCTTAATTTTCAGAATTTTCAAATCGACAGTCTTCTAATTAGCACATTTTTAAGTTGCTAATTTTTCTAAATTTAATATACTGCCAGAAATTTTCACAATTTTCCTGATTTTGATAATATACCTAATTTTCCTAATTTCCCCAATTTTCCAATTTTCCTCATTTTCCTAAACTTCCCAAAGTTCCTAAACTTCGCAAATTTTCCAATTTTTCTAATTTTCTTATATTTCCAAGGTTTCCAATATTTTCCAAATTTCCTCATTTTCCCAAATTTCCCAATTTTCCTAAATTTCCTAAATTTCCCAAATTTCATAAATTTCTTAAATCTCCCGAATTTCTCAAATTACCTACATTTCAAAACCCCCAGATTAACATATCCCCAAACACCCAAATTTCTAAATGCTCACCGCTCTAAAATTACCAAAACTTACAAAATTTCTAAGATATTCAAACTAGCGAATATAAATTCCCAAAATTACTAAATTTCTAAACTGACCTCTCACGAATGCTCAGAACAATTCTGCACCCCTTTTACTCGACTACGAAGAAGTAGTTTCTATTCATTTTTTCCTCTGCCACTTCGTGTCCTTATTTACATACCTATCCTGAAAAGCTTGATCGATCAATTGGTCGATGCAATAATTACCTCGAAACCATCCGTGTCTACCGACCAAACGGGATAAATAACGCGAGGGTAATTCCTCGGCGTATAAGCGTGAACAAAAGGGGCTGAAGAATCGCGAGGCGCGATGCTCGATGAAATCCCAGACGCACCGAGCTGAAGTATTCCAGGAACAAAACGATCTTCCATTAATTAACGGCGAAGTGCTTTTTGCCATTTTCATTACCGTGGCTACGCTTTTGTCCTCTTTGCCGTTCAACCTGTCGGATATTTGCACATTTCCCGCCTTCTCTTGACACTCGCCCGTTACCCGGTATCGTTTGCTCCGTCGTTCCCGTCTTTTCTGCTTTTTTTTTCTCCTTCGCCGAACAAGTTTCCATGGACGCAATCGAATTCCACACGCTCGATATCCTGCGCGTCTCTCGATCGCGATATCATCGTTTAATTTCATGCCGGTGATCGTACAATAAACCACGCGTTTCGTCGCGTTCGCGGGTTCGATAACGTTAATTTCACTTGAAGATCGACGAAAATTACGGTTGATGGCACGTATAATCTCCTCTATCTCGTTTATCCTTCGTGCGGGTTTCGAGTGAATTTTGTCGAGATTCGCAATTCGATCTCTCGTTCCTCGTAATCGCGAAAATTGCAAACGTTATCGGATCGGATAATCACATTAGATATCATTCGCCTTTTTTTCTTGCGCACCAGTTATTTCATCGGATGATCTTGGACGGAGAGAGATCGTTTAATATAAAGTCCGACGACGGGGAATCTATTAAAATAAACGGGGGTTTTACGTGTCCTATAAAATGTGGAGTCACGTGCATTTTAAAACAGATTTCATTGCGTGCAATCGCGGCTAGCGAAATTATCGGACGTATAAATTCCCAGCTCTCAAATCGTCGTCGAAATTATTGCAGTTTCGCTGCACTTTTGATATGTGCACTATTAAATTCTGAATTAATTTGCAAATTTTTATATTCTTCCATTTCAATTACTTTTTAAATTCTTCACTTTACAATTTCTCAAAGTTAAATTAAATCAAAGCTAAATTCTATAATTCTAAATCGGAATACAGATTCAAATTAACAAATATCTAAATCATTTTACATTGTTTCACAATTCATTCAACTCTAATTCTAATATTTATAATCTCGAATATTTTCATTCGGAAAATGACAGCTATTTTTGCATTGTCTAACGCCTTACAATAAAGAAGTATATCTTCAAAAATTTTACAGTATCCTGACACGCCTAATCGTTAGACCATGATCGCGTTTTTGTTCGGACAGAAGAGAGGGGCGCAACGAGGGTTCGAATTAGAGAGGGTGGCAAAGAGAGAAAGGGAGGCGTTCAAAAGTGAGGTAATGCGATTACCGACTTTAGCCGTGGGGCTCGTCGCGATACCAGGGGCGGCTGTGCGAAAACAGATTATTTTAATTTAAAGTAACAAACTCTCTCTGATTCTCGTATACTGTAATCCTGCCCGCAAATTTGACGTACGCGTGTATCCGCATTGTCACGACCGGTAGTTTCCGGATTAACCATTATAGCACAACGGGGCCAAACGTTGCAGCGTCTTCCTGATGAAAAACAAACAGACGGTTTTCCGGTTCGCGTCACACCATTTTCTTTCCTCTCGTTCTTCAACATTTTTCTTACCGATGCTTTCGCCGACGAGATTTCTCTCGGGTATCAAAATATTTCTTACGTTGATGAGAAATTCGATTAATTCGCCATTTTTACTGTCATGTTTATTTATGGATGTAGGATTTAGAATAGTTTAGTTTAAATTCTTTAATAGACTATTAGAGAATGGTCATATTTGTTATATTTGTATGTGTGTACACATATTGTACGGTTATAAATTGTATTTACATTTAGACCTTGATAGGTGATTGCATAGAAATAATTTTCTGTCACAAACTATAATTTTGTTAACAAATATGAAGCTACTTTTCGTAAAATATAATTTGAAAAATTATGTAGAAATTTGTATATATCATTCTGTGATACGAGCCTCCTATTACGTATTAATATTTACCCTAATTTTAACCAATTAAATTAATATCTAAAAATGAAACTAATATAATAGAAATTACTGAAAGTATCAAAGTCCGAAAATATTCCACATAATTGCCCCTTTTTCCGCGCAAAAAATAGCGAATTTTTTGATGGACGTGAATTTTCTCCCCATTCAGCCATCACTTGCACGCGAAAAGGGATTACCTGTTCGACGATGGATCACT